AAGTCAGCTCGCTATTATAGGGTCTCAAATTCATCCCAACACTCATGACAAACCATAAAACCAAACCAACTCTTGCTAGATTTATTCGCAAGATGAACGCGCCTCAAAAACAACTTTCACAGACAAAACAAAGAGCCACATCTGTCTCATATCAAACTGAATGCCACCGGTTCAGCCTTCTGTTGCCCTTTAGAGCTAACCTGCAGAGATTACTTATCCAAGTCATTAAAGAATTTGTAATGCAATGAAGTAACGGCGCTTAAAGAGTTAAAAAAAACTTTGCTTTAAACCTCACAAAAGCAACACAACAACAGTCATCAGTCATCAAAGTGCAACTCGACAATGGAATTCACTTCAAACCTCTCAAAGAACCAATACTAAAAGACACGCAGGAAAGGGTTTATTAGATCATTGACCAAATGTATCAAGGCAAACACACTTTAATGGCATGACTAAGAAATGGCTTCAACAAACTCCTAATTCACCTGGATACACAGTCCACCCTTGCTGAAAACAATTTTCATATATTATCCGTTTATCTTTGAAAACTTAAACAGAAAAATCACTGAGGACACACTTTTGAAAGAAAAAAAAAGTACAATTTGAAGATGATAATGCGACATGACTACAAAAGCCATATGGTGAGTCATTGCCGGTCTGTCTATACCTTTGTTCCTAGTCGTTTTTGGTGTGATTATTTGTGAGGTACTGCTGCCTGTACACGTGATAGCCCGTCTCCAGCACCTATCTATCGAGGCAGGTTGTTTGAAAACCTGGATGTTTAGTAACTCATCTTGGTTTCAGGCTCTTGTTCCTTTACATTTTGCCACACTTGCCCAATTTCCGTACAACAGACGCTTTCATGTGTTTTTGGCTTTGGCTGACAAATTCCGTACTCGCACCATTGATAATTTTATATAAAACAAGCACAGAAGCTTATGTTAAAGAAATTATCTTGCATTCATTTAGATTTTCAACTTACTTTATTAGGTTTTCGTGCCAAATGAAAATAAATCACACAATGGATTAAATACCAGTCTGTGTTTCCGAGACACTCGGTATTGCTGTCAACCGGCTTTGTGCTGCCTTTGTGTGGATCATTCAGTGAACCCTAGCGGCTTATATTGATAAGGACATGACCCAGACTCTCCTAAAGGTTCTGAAGTATCCCCATTGCTGTCATATAAGTTTAAGGCATTCGAATCACTCTCTCCTGAAAGACATCGTCCTGACTATTGCTACCCGTACAAGCTGCCCTATCATTCTACTGAAAACCGTGTTGTGCAATATTTTAGTTCCACTGCTTACATCACAACCCCTCACTATTGTTTTCACCAGAAGTGGAATTTCAGTTAAAAATGCCAACTGTCTCCCTAAAAGAAGTCGAATTGGCCAAAACAAATCACAAATTCGTCTTCTAAACCACCTTTTACATAGTATAAAAAAAAACATGTATTTTTAGGTTTACATGCCCTTTAAATTGGTTTTAAAATAGGGTCAGCAATAATCATACTGTTAGCATATTTGGAGATGACTTCAAAACAGGTAGTTCACTGTTTGCAATGTTAAAATGTGATAAGTAGTAAACTGTCAGAAGTACTGTGGTTTCTAATCATGAAAAATAAAAATTACAAGGAATATTTTTCTGTAATCTATTTCTCTGTTTCTTTGTTCTTTATCAGGCATTCCTGACGCTACCACAAGACATATAGCTCGTTTAGTTGCCAGGCAAAGGAAGAGTTCTCCTAGGAGAAAAACTCGTCTCACCTCATATCAACCTGAGCAAACACCAGTTTTGCCTCATTTTATACGAACAAAAATAAAAGAACTTCTAGTTGGTTATCCATCAGGGTTACTGGGCTCCATGTTTGCTGTGGCTTTTAAACGAAGGTTTGGTGAGGAAATTAACTATAATAGATTGGGATTTAAATCACTTAATCATCTTCTGGAAGCAGTTCCTGATATAGTGGAGGTTGAACGTATGCGAGGAGGAGGATTCAGAGTGTATGGCAAACACTTTGGAACAGATAAATCAGGTATGTATAAGCTCAAAAATGATGAGATAGTTTGAATGGAGTTGTACATGGGGTACAATCTATGAACTCTTTCTACCCTAACATATACCTGCCAACTCTTGGTTTTCGCAGGAGTCTCCAAGTTTTTCATCAAATCTCCTGGTCTCCTGGTTAGAGAACTGAATCTCCTGTGAAATACCTACCGTGGCTTTTTTCAATTTTTTAAAAATAATTTAGTTGTTTCAAGATGTCAAAAAGGATTCAGTGCTCTTATTTAAGCGGCTCTCAGTTGGGAAAAGTAAAACAGAGCAATCAAATTGATATACATTCAATGAGTATCATAATTGGTCAGAAATCAACCAATCAAATTGCACAATACACGATAGAAATTTGGCGCGGTTCAGGTTGTCACGCTCAGTTTACATCAGTTGAATTGAGGATGGCCAGCATGGATTTCCGATTTCTAGACATCTCCAGATTTTTGTACTTTGGGGGTTGGCAGGTATGCTAATATATCTGTTGTAGGTCAATTTGTTCTTTAGGTAAATTTGTTTCAAACTAGGTTAATTTGATCTCAACCTAGGTCAGTTGCTGATGTCTGTCTGTCTGGTTTTTTTTTTTGTTTGTGTTGAGATGTCTGGAACCTGAAACTATACTAAAACAATTATTTGCCTCAGGTTCCAGACATCTCAACACAGCCAGAAAAGAAAACGGACAGAC